GGAGGGAGCAAGTGGAAGGCATCCAGTGAGGACATCTGGAGGGACTCCTGGAACAGGCGTTGCCCACTGCAACTCCTTGCTTCCTGCCCATTCCCCAGGTCCAACTTGACTGGCCATCTGGTCTGGCCGTGGTGTGGAATATGAACTTCCTTAGTATTCCTGGTTGGAAGGGTTACCCAGTACCAGCCCATCAACCAGTCCCAAATTCAGCTCCAGGCTGCCCATCTGGGGCCACCTCCCCTTCAGAGGTGATGAGACCTGGGTAGTGTAGGGGCAAAGGCAGCACTGGGGTGCTTGTCGTGGCCACCAGTCCAGTGCTCTCATCCCAGAGACCAGAGCCTGCTCTCAATCTGTTAACCCCTGCCCCAGAACCGAGAGTGGCCTGTTTGGGCTGCAGAGGGAAGGGAGGGCTTGCCACATGGAGTGTCTTGGCATCAGCAGCAGCCCAAGCAGGATTTGTGTGTCTTGGGACCAGGTTGTATAAATGCCAAGTCTCTTCATGGTTCTTTCTACTAAAGCTGTTTTAATTAGCGGGACGACTCAAGGAAGGTGCACATTCCATTTTCTCATTAGCTGAGAGGGGTGAGATTTCCACCAGCTCATTTCAGTTATTATTGTTGAAAACCTTTCCAAGATGTGATGTGCGTGTTAGTTTGGGGCAGGTTAAAAAAAATTGTCGGTGGCATTCGGGTGCAAGAAAAGCCACAGGAATCTGTTTTACTTTCTTCAGCACCAGATTAATCTGTTTCTGGTCTTCACCTGGCTGACTCTTGGGAAATGTCATCCTGGCTCTGTTTACTGCTCAAGTCAGACAAGAGTCCCAAGGGCTCCTGATTAGGGTCAGAGCCTTTATTTGTAGCATCATGGTGGCTGTGTGCCTGCTGCCACAGCCTCACACAACCCCATACCACAGCCTGCCACACAGACTCTCCTTTCCCAGTATCTGCTGACTTCACACCGCCCGCCTTCCACAGGGGCCTCCAGGCCTCCCTCATGCAGAGCTGGCTTCCTGGAAGGAAGCCGAGATACCAGGCTCAGCCTGGCCTGCTCAGGTCCATGGCTTGGTAGGAAAGAAGCCTGGGTGGTTTAGAAACACGGAGCCAAGTGATAATCCCCAGGGACCTAAATAAATAATAAAAGCAAAAAACCCACAACTGACTCTCAAGCAAATGACCATGCTCCCAACGTGTTTTTTTTGTTGTTGTTGTTTGTTTTGCTCCCACAGTTGTTATAACAAAATTTGAATCAGTGGGAGTCAACAGATTGTCCTGCCACTGTGAGAATAGTGTTTCTGCCATCAGAGCTGCCTCTAGCAAGAGTGTCCCCATTTCAGAGCTATGTACAATGCTGTAGCTGAGGACAGGTCTCGGTCGAGGAGAAATCTGGAAAAGGGGCAATTGGAAGCCATCCCAGGCCCCATTTGCGTTGTTGTTGACTGAAAATGTTTACTGAGATGATTATAGATTCATATGCAGCAGCTACACAAAAGTAACAGAGCAATCTCTTGTACGCTTTGCTTGGATTCCCCTCATGGTAATGTCTCGGTGTTCTAGGCTGCTGTAACAGAAATACCACCATGGAGGGCTTTAACAAACACATTTATTGTCTCACAGTTGAGAAGTCCAAATTCAGGGTCCTGGATATAGGGGAAGGCTTTCTGTCTGTCAGCTGTGGAAGGAAGGTACTCGTCTCTTCTGAGCTTCTGCTGCTGGGCCAGCTTCCTGTGGCTTGGCCCGGGTCTTCCCCTATCTCTGCTTCTCTCTCTTCCTAGCTTGATCTCTCTTATAGGGCAAAAGACTGAGGAGACACACTCTACGCTAATCTTGTCTCATCAACACATCAAAGACAACTCTTTCCAAATGGGATGATAGCCACAGGAGTAGAGGTGAGGATTTCTGACATCTATTTGGGAAGGACACAATTCAATCCATAACAGTTACACTTTACAAAACTGTACTAAAGGATTAAAACCAGGGCACGAACACTGAGTAATTTCACCTATGTCATTCAGATTTCCCAAGCATGACTTATTCTCATAAGTATATGTACTAAGTTCTGTAAAACTTTATCACCTATGTGGGTTCATGTATCCACCACCAGTCAAGATACTAATATCACAAGAATTCTTGGTGCTGCCCTTCTATAACCACCCCCACTTACCCCCACCCCCACCCCATGCTCCTCCACCCCCACCCACCCCCGTGCCTCTAGTCCCTTCAACCACCAGTGTGTCCTCCGTTTCTAAAATTTTGTCTTTTAAAAAATTAATGCAGTATGTAACCTTTGGAAATTGACTTTTTCACTCCACACAATGTCCCGGAGATCCATTCAAGGTTTTGTGTGCATCACTAGTTCACTCATTCTTACTACTGAGTAGCATTCCAAGGTCTGTATGTACCAGTTTGCTTGGTCATTCATCTATTAAAGAATATCGGGACTGATTCTAATTTTTGACTCTTACAAATAAAGCTGCTATGAACATGTGTATAGAAATCTGGGGTCAAAAGAAGTTTTCATTTTTTGGCATAAATACCCAGGAAGACAATTGCTGTATCATAGAGTAATCATACATTTAGCTTTTTAAGAAATTATCAAACTGTTTTCCAGAGGGCTGCACCATTTTATAGTCCTACTACCAAATACGAGTGATCTGGTTTCTCCTTATGCTCATCAGTATCCAGCACTGTCACCTTTTTGTTGTTGTTGCCATTCTGATAGGCATGCAGTGCTATTTCGTTGCCCTCTTCATTTGTATTTCTGTAACAGTTAATAATGCTGGAAATCTTTGGTGTTGTTTGACCACTGTACATCTTTTTCAGTGAAGTCTGTTGATGTTGTCGGCCCATCTTTCTAGTCAGATTACTTGTTGCTGTACTGTTGTGTTTGGAGAGTGCTTTCTATATGCTGGATCCTAGCACTTGGTTAATGCTAGTGGTTTGCCCATGTCTTCTCAGAGCCTATAGCTGGGCTCTCCATCCTCTGCACATGCGCTCTCACAGAGCAAACATTCGTCCTTTTGATGAGGTCCAATTTATCTTTTATGGCACCTGTTTATGGTGTCAAGTGAAAGACTGCTTTGCCGAGCTCTAGGTTCTGAAGATTTTTTCCCCCTAAAAGGTCTATGACTTTTTAGTCCCCACCTGGTCAGCTTGCTTTGTGAGAAATGAGACGTAAGTCTGATGTGCATCCCACAAGGCTCCCATGTACATAGAGCTCTCCTTCTGATTGGAGACTACCTCAGGCAAGAGGTCCCAAGATGCGTGTGTGCTAAGGACACACACCATGGACTCCACCCTGGTCCCCCTGCATTTCATCTGGAAACCTACCATCAGCCAATGTTCATGAATCCAGCCCAGTCAATTCTGAACTCAGCTGACACAATGACCTCTAAAATCAGACTACTGGGATATGTCGCAAGGGATGCTGAGTAGCTGGAGAGACCAGACAGAAAAGGAAGAGAATGGTCTTGGGAGAGATTCCTGCCATGTCTCGAGGTTTCCTTCTGCCTGCGGATGAGCCAAAGGAAAGGCCCCGAGACAGGGGCCTTCTGCCCCCGTGCACTGACCAAACCACAGTTACTGATCAGTTGTCAACAACGGATACTGCTCTCACAGGCTGGAGTTACAGATGTGAGTGTGAAAGACAGCTCACCACCTCTGCCCATGAGGAGCTTATGATCTATTGTGTGTGCGGTGTGGGGGAGGGGCACCTGATGACAAGCAACACCGTGACAATCCTGTACAGTACAACCTATGAGAGCCAGAGCTCTGCCACTTTGTTTTTCTGGGTCTCGTGGTTGTTGGTTGTTTGCCTTTGACAGGGTTCAGTCTTACCACTGGGCCATCTCTTGTCTTAGTGGAAAATAGGGCATTTTCCTTTTCTAACCAGTGTCTACTTTACACAGGTTCTGACTCTTGCGGGGTTTACTGTAGTCTGTTACAAGGTGGTAAACACTATGGGGCAGAAAGAGCTGGGATAAAGGAATTGTTGGCGTACTGCTCAAGGAAGGTGGCCTCCCAAGAGGCAGCGGGGAGAGTCATGTGGCCAGCTGGAGGGAGAGTCCCAAAAGCAGCCGGCAGTGTAGCTGTCACACATGTGTGTTTGAGGAGAGGCCAGTGCGGCTGGGGGCCAGAGGGATTTGTGTCATGTGAGTCGCATGGGCCACCATGATGTGTTTGGCTTTTAGAAGATGAGGAACCTTTGTGGATTTTCAGCCAAGAAGAGATGTGGCGGGATTTCTATATTAAAAGAACTATGGGTAAGAAGACAATAAGCTACACACGGAGTAAGCTTGGAAGCAGGGGCACTAGGCAAAAAGCTCTTGCTGTGATTAAGGCTAGGACCCAGGGAAGCAGTGGTGTAGTGAGAAATGGCCTCATCTGGGTACATTTGGACAAAACTTATCAAAAGGATCTCCTGGCACCCTGTGAGGTTTGGGAGAAGAGCATCAAGGAGCGGGCAGTTCAACGAGCTTGATGGGATCAAACTGCCATGTTTGAGTTGCACATGGAGTGGATATGGGGGGATGATCGATGATACAGAGCTCAGGCACGTTCGGAGATACCCAGGGCACATCTACACGGAAATGGAAACTACACAGTTGGCTGTTGAGTCTGGAGTTCAGGAGATCTGTACACACTGGTTACCACTGAGTTGATTCCGACTCTCAGAGACCCTATAGGGCAGAGCAGAACTTCCCCTGTGGGTTTCCAAGGCTGGAAATCTGTATGGGAGCAGAAAACCTCATCTTTCTCCCTTGGAGAATTCAGTTAGTGAGTTCAAACTCCCAGCCCAATGCTTAACCCCCCACACCAGCGAAGGCTCCTGAGGTCTGGGCTAAAAACAGACATCTCAGTCTGTAGGTGGTATTTAAGACCAAGAGCTTGGGTGTGCTGATGGGGGTGGGGGTGGGAGCAGTGTGCACAGAGGAGGGGACAGGACTGAGTCCCAAGTCCTGGGGAAGTCAGGAATTAAAGGCTCAACATGAAACCTGAACCATTGCCCACTCCTGGCAAGTAGTCTTGAAAGACGTGGTCAGTGGCCTGAGGGGCATCTGCTTCAGGGGCAAGTCCCAGGATGAGGTTTCCCAGAAGGCAGGTGTTGCCCTTCCAGGGTATTAGAGGATTAATGATTTGAGTGGTAGTTCACAATGAGATAACACTTCACTCCTCCTAGAATGGTAATGATTTAACTCAATAGCAGAAAACAGCAGGTGTGGACAAGGCTGGTGAGACTGTAAAATGATGTAGCCACCGTGGAAACATTTGGTGGTGCTTCAGAAAGTGGAACACAGCACTATCATATGATCCAGCAATCCCAATCCTAGACATAGCCTCAGAAGCGAAGGCAGAAACACAGACATGAAGCTGTACACCAATGTTCACTGCAGCACTTTGACAACAGCCAAGAGGTGAAGACCACCCAAATGTCCGTCAACAGATGAATGGGTCAACAAAATGTGGTGTAGGCACCCAATGGAATCTGTCACACAGAGAAATGACGTTGTGATGTGTGCCACTACACGGGTGAACCTTGAAAACATGATGCTAAGTGAAACGAGTCAGTTGAATGTATGGTTCTCTCTCACCTCCTCTCATCAATCAGCATATTTGGGGAAAGAATAGTAATAAAGTTGGCAGAACAGACCCAATGTAATGCCATTAGAGTTTACATCTGGAAGTGGTTGCATTGGCAAATATTGAGTAGTCTCAATTTATGACGTATTCCAGTTACCATGAACTGCACTTGGGATCTGCTCGGTTTTGTTTGACATCTTGTCAGTATTATATATTATACACAATATTGCAGCATATAATTTGCCGTTTCTTTCTCAGATGTCATGAATCTAACTCCAAAGGATTCGATTTTAAAGATATTGATAATAATTACTAAGGGAATTGTAATGAGAACTTTTTTTTTTCTTTTAACGTGGTATTCAGTTTATCGTCAGAACTTATGATGGAGTTGTTGGAATGGAACCACGTCATAAGTCAGGGACTACTTCCTGTATATTTCCACTGTTTCAAAAACAGAAAGACTGGTGCTAACTGGCAGCATCCCTCCATCCTGGGCCCTGTGGTGATAGTGGGAGGCAGGTGAGCAGCCTTTGTACATTCACCTTCTTTCTCACTGTCTTTCAAGGAGCCAGCACAGCAACACTTCTTCTCCAAGCATGACAATCGTACTTCCTTCGACAAAGTAAGTGCTAGAGGGAGGAAGAGGAGGGGACAGACCTCCCAGTCCAGGGTGAAGGAAAGACAGAGCAGGAGGTAGGGTGGGGAGGGTGGGGTCTCCTTATACAGGCGAAGGGGGACCTGTCCTGTCTTCCCAACAAAGTCCCTCCTCTCCATTTGGAGAGACAGCCCATTCTCCAAATGGAGGCTCTTCCACTTTGGTTCTGCTGTCAGCTTGCCTGACGCATAAATATCCCGGGTCCACTGACTTCTGAGGGCCTCACTCTAGAATGGAAGGCAAGGTTGGGGAGACCACCAGGAGGCTAGGGTCCGGATCAGGGGGGCCAGGCAGACTAGGGTTCAGGTGGGGCTCAAAAAGATGCCTGGTACCAAGACTGGGGGCCAAGGGCCTATGCCTTTGGGGAGGGCCCCTACTGCCTGCTGCAGGGCATCGGGAGACGAAAAGACCTGGAGCGCCTGTGGCAGCGACACAACTTCCTGCACTGGGCACCCTCTGAGCTGCAGTTGCACCAGCAGCAGCCCCTTGAATCTTCCTACCAGGCTGATTTTCGATCAGGCCCAGGATTGGACAGCCTCCCCCAGCGCCTCGTCCACTTTGTGGAGGTCCGGCCTGCCTATGCCAGCACCACCTACCAGCAGAACTTTTGTCAGACAGCCCGGAGCAGCCACAGTAACACCAAGATAGGGCACAAAGCACAGGTCACCACCTCACTGCCTCACCTCCTGGGGCCCTCAAGGCCCAAGATGCTACAGCACTACCTTCATGCTGGGGTCTCTGAATGTCTAAACTGGTCCAGATCATTAAACAAGAATGGTTGACACAGCGACCCAGCCGTGCTTGCAGCTCAAGAGCTAGACGAGGCCCTGCGTCCAGCTCCCAGGGGGCCTATCTGCTGGGCAAGGGGCATTGCCTTGGGAGTCCTGCCGCTGAACAAGAGGGAGTGAAGCCTGCAGGACACTGAGGGCCCAGGAGGGTGGGTGCCAGGGTCCCAAATGCTCCTTCGTTTCTGCAGTATCCCTGGTGCGAGCCCCTTCACCTCAGAGCTGCTGAAGGGCAAGAAGTGACAGAGGCCCTGTGGGTGAGCAGTCAAGGCTGGAGGGAGAGGCCAGTGCCTGGAGCTTCCTCCAGGAGTCTGCGGCCCTCAGAGTCTGGTGGGTGCCCACACACACCTAGAGAGAGAAGACTCCCCCACAATTGGGGGAGACTATACTCCGCTTGTTCCTGGACAGGGAAGCTAGCCCCAAAGCTCCGACTCCTGCCACAGCCCCCACTGAAGCCCCTATGGAACCAGGAGCAGGCCTCTGGGTTACGCTAGACTACTTGGACCTAGAGGTCATTATGACCTTGGCTTGTGGTGGGTCTTAGTTTCTTTCTCAGCCCTTCCCTGGTTGTCCTGCGAGTGGCTCCTTACCCCTAGAGCAGTGAATAAGGGCTGTCCTCTCCCATCACCAAGGAAGAAGCTGGGACCTGCACGGCGCTGAGGCACGAGACGGTGGCAGAGGCCAGATCCAAGAAGCTCCTCCTGAACTCTCATCTCTGGGAGACATGAGGCCCCAAAAGGAGGGTCAGGGACTGTGGGGCAGCATGGGAGTCCACACTAGGGACCACACACTAGATCTTAGCAGCACTTTTACTTCTATATCCGGGCTCCTTGGGTCCTCACAACAGCCCTGTGAGGTAGGTAGGACAGGAGAGGTTCAGCATCCCCGTTTCCAGGCACAAAGAGGTGAAATGACTTGCCTAAAGTCACAAAGCCAGCAGGGGTCCTCTGGTGGTTCCTCCATCCTCCTTTCCCTTCCCTCTGTGTCCCCCACACTCTCTGAATGCTTCTAGGTCTACAGGGGCCCTCAGGCCAGGCTGACAGCTGGAAGTTTTCAGTCACAGCCCTCGAGGTATGCCTGGTCAACTCCAGGTAGGCCTTCACCCTTCAGGGCGTGAGGCCAGCTGGACAGAGGGTAGGGTAGGCTCTAGGGCAAGGGTGGAACTAGGCATTGTGTGAATGAATGGTGGCAGATGTGGGGGTGAGCATATGTGTTGTGAACCAAAGAGACAGGTGCTCTCAGTCCCTGAGGCATACCTCCCTCATCCCACAGAGCCATGGGGAAGATCCTCAGCAGCAAAATGGGGCCGCAGACACCGATCTGCCTCTGGCACTCAGCTGCCCCAGCAGAAAGGTCCCCATAAGGCCTTCAGACACCCTCACGAAGACACAGTGCCTCCACGGCTTGGCTAGGACCCTGGGCCACACCCCCGATTGCAAACAGTCGAGGCCCTGTCTGCAGGCTGGAGCAGGAGCAGCGGGCAGTGGGCATGGCGGGCAGTGCCTCCCAGCGACGCCGCGCAAGGCTGAAGCCCTCTACAGAGCCCAGAGGGCACGGCTGGTTTCCTGTGGGGAGGAGACAGCAAGCTGTAAGGCACGCAGGCTGTAGGAGTTCAAGGCCTCGGTTCCCCCGGCCCAGAGGATGGTCCCACAGGCATCACTGGGAGACTGGACTCTCAATGTCTTACTCCTTCATTGCCCCACTTGTCATAATTCCATCCGTTCAGGCCGTTCTGTCCCTATATCACTGCCATTGAGTCCGATGCTTGACTACTTGGACCTCCAACTCGCAGCAACGCTATAGGACAGGGTAGAACTGCCCCTGTGGGTTTCCAAGACAGTAACTGTTTGGGGAGTAGACAGCTTCATCTTTCTCCTGTGGAGTGGCTGGTGGTTTCTAACTGCGGACCCACTATGCCACCAGGGCTCCTTTATATTGCTGTGAAGGGGCTTTAAAAAGTACACGGAAAAAACCCATTGTCTTTTAATTCCATTTTCCCACGTATTTGGCCCATGTGGCTGTGCACTCAGCACACAGGTCTGCTCCTTCCTCCTAGGCTGTCAGTCAGGCTGCCTCCCGGATACAGGCAGCTAGCCAAGTCCAGACCCTGGAGGGGCTAGAGAAAGTCAAGAGGTGGTGCCCAAGCGAGGGGTCACCCTTTCCTGCCCTGGGGACTCCCTTCTAAGCAATTCCCCAAGAGACTCACCAAGGCCCCCAATAGCCACGATGTGGCCCCCGAGGGAGCCAACCACAAAGTCGGCCCTCTTCTCTCTCATGCGCAGGCTGCGGGGCAGCTTGGTCCAGGACCCTGCAGGAGATGGGAGGTCAGAGGTAGCCCCCAAACCCTGTACCCCTCCATCCCACAGAGAGTAGGAGGGCACTGCCCAGGCCAGCCACTGCTCACCATGCTCCAGATCGAACACTTCCACGGTGTTGACAAAATGTGGCCGTGAGTAGAAATTGTGGGGGCCTGGTTGCTGGAGGCCCCCCAAACTAAAGACACTGCCTTCAGCCATGGCACAGCCAGCAAAAGCCCGGCGGCTGGGCAGGCTTGGGTGCCGGGTCCAAGTGCGGGCCTCTACATCAAAGGCCTCCAAAGCAGTCACTGGGAGCTTGCCTTGCCGACCCCCTGCCAAAGAAAGTGGGACACCTGCGAGGGGGCCTGGAGGGCTCCTCAGACACCCTCCCACCCTCCCCTCGGAGCTGCGAGCACACGAGAGTACGGAGCATTCACCTCACAGACCCTCCGGCAGCGCCAAGCAGAGGTCAGGACCTCAGAGCAGGCCAGGCCCAGGCCAAGAACATGTCTCTCAGCCTGTCATCCCAGACTGACCCTGATCCCGGCCCTAGCCCACTCGTGTGGACCAGCACTTCTGGGCACTGAGGCCCCTACCCACAGCCCCCAGGCCCTTACCCAGGACATAGATCTTGCTTCCGTGCAGGAAGGTGGAGGCCCCGTAGCAGGGTGTGGGCATGGAAGGCAGAGAAAGCCAGCAGTCCCGGCGGGGCTCATACACTCGGACCTGGGCCTGGGGGGCCGTGTCAGGACCCATTCCCCCCAGAGCATATACCAAACCATCTGCATAGAAAAGAGGGGTCAGACTGTACCCCAGGCCTGGCCAGTGCATCCCCACTCCATGACAGCCTCCCGGGCCAGGCCAGGGGCCTCTTCCTTCCCTCCTGGGCAGCTCTGCTCCGCTTCTGGTGTGGGGGCTGGGAGAGCTGGGTTTCTTGCTCTAGCCCCTCCAATTGAGGTGCAGGAAGCAGCCGATCTAATTATAATCTGGCTCCGTTTCCCTGGAGACACTATGGCAACAAAGCCTGGCATCCAAGCAGGGCTGGCCCGGACCTGTGGTCAGACCTGGAGGCCTTAAGGTTTGGTGGGGGTGGGGGGCCCCTTGTGGGGGAAGGGAGCAGTTTAAGTGAGGGAAGGGGACATACTAAGGCCTGAGGAGGAGGCTCTGGGATGAATGGAGAGGTGGGGGACGGGCAGGCACCTGCAGAGTAGGGAAAACACTGGTCACAAACGGCCTGTAGTGGGGAGCCACCTCTGTCCCATGTCTTTGCACTAGCGCAGTTCCTGCCCTGTGTTTGGGCCCTCGGGTTCAGCTGGGGACACTTCCAGGGGTTTCCACTACACCTATCCCCATGCTAGCTTGGCTTTCAAGGTCCACCTCAGGACCTTTATGAGTGTGTGTGTGGAGAGTGTGTGTGTGTAGAGTGTGTGTGTCTGTGTGTGTCTGTGTGTATAGAGTCTGAGCCCTTGCTGGGCCCAGATCCCTTCCCCCTTTCCTGGTTATTTATAATCCCCTTGTCTCCAATGGATGAGGAATGGGACAGGGGGGGCCAGCCTGGACTCCACCCACCCCTCAGAGCCAGAAAAGGCAGCAAAGGAAAGGCTGCTGCAGGCCGACTCAGAGTGGGGCTGGGAAGGGTACAGGAAGCAAGGCCATGCCCAAGGCACCCATGTCCAGGCAAAAGTTACAATTCTTGGTGAATCTTTGGGAGTGAAGAACCAAGCCAGGAGCGAATGGGGAGTTCTGGGATACCTGAAAGGTCTTCCCTGACAGTCTGGCCCAAGTGTACCTACCCTTAGGTCCCTAGTCAGGGTCACTCACCTCTCTCCACAATCGAAACCCCCATAGCTGCCTGAGGGAGGGTGGCCCGGTGCTCCCAGCGGCCCTCGTCAGCCACAAAGGCTTCCACAGCAGCCACCGGGCTCTGGCCCTCATCCACGCCACCCACCACTAGCACCTGCTTGCCAAGCACCACGGCGGCAGCACCAGCCCGGGCAGTGGGCAAAGGTGCCAGGGCCAGCCAGGTGTGTGAAGCCATGTCCAGTGCCTCAGTGGTGTCCAGGGGCAGTCCAGCCCGGCCACAGCCCCCCAAAACCAGCAGGTGCCCATCCTGGTGCACCACAGTGCCATAAACCCGGCAAGTGGGCATGGGGGGGAACACCTGCCAAGCGAAGGCCCGGCCACCACCTGCAGCCATGGTGTTCACCACCCCTGGCAGGCCATGCTCTCTGGTCAGGCTGCAGGCCTCACAGGGGCACACGCCGGAGCGTCATCTTGCCCCTGCTAGGATGTCTGCCAAGGGGCCATCTGGTCGATGCCGAGACCTGCCTTCACCTGGAGGAGAGAGAGGACACAGGGTCAGGGCTGCTGACCAGTCTCTCTGAGGATAGAGGAGCAGCCTACACCTGGGAACAGGGCCAGTCCAAAATCCCTGGTGGTCCAGGCATGTCGGGGACCCACCCCCAGCTGGCACCACACCACTGGGCCTGCCTGGGGTGCCTCCTTATCTCCAGGCTGGTAGGTTCTCCTTCTATGGAGGGGTGGAGAGGAAGCCCCCTCCCTGGCCCCTGCCCCCTCTGAGGAGCTCCTGAACCAAGTCTGGGTGGAGGAGGGGGTGGGGTGACTAGACAGGCAGGTGACTGGGACCCAGACTCCCCACCCCAGTCACTTTATGGTCCTCACAATAAGCCTTAGCAGATGTGACAGGGCTCTCCCTTCCTTTACACTGGCTTTCAGAATTCCCTGGGGCAACCTGGGATCCAATCATTGGGGTTCCCACCCTCCCAAGCTGCCTGGAGCAAGACAGCTGTGTACCCATTGCCTTAATCCAAGGTGTTTGAGCCTAGGGAACTGGGTGTCAGGGTCACACACACACCAGGGCCCCTCCCCAGAGGCCAAGCTGCCTGGTGTCCAGAAACACAGAACTCTAAGGTAGGTCGCAGCAGGAATGGGCAGCTAGACTCCTGGGTCCCCCTCCGCAGAAGCTTAAGCTTCCCATCCTCCTCTTTCCAGCCAGGGTCCCGCTCCTGGGACCCACCCCCAGCTAGAGGGGGTTAATCCCAAACTTCGCACCCTGCTCTAGGTGGGGGGCGGGTCCGGGGCGATCACCTCGGCGCCTCCCATCCCTAACTTCCCCGTTGGCACTCCTGGGGTACTCACCGCTCCCAATGGCTCGGGCGCACCCGCGGCGTGGGGTCCTTCGTGCCCGCTCCGCTGGCGCCGCCGCCTCCGCTGCCGGCGTGGGCTCCGGCTGGGGCTGAGGCCGGACTCCGGCTGGGCTCCGCGCGGGGCGGGACTGCACCGGGTCCGGCCCCCGCGGCCCCTCTCCCCAGGCCCCCTCCAGACTCGGGGAAACCGGCTTCTCCCCTCCCCCGCCCTTAACCCTACGCGCGCCGCGGTCCGCGCCGGGCGTGCAGACCCACGGCCATGCGCAAACGGGTGGACAGACGAGAGGACAGGTGGACACTGGGCCTGCCCAGGATTTAGGTCGCCCGAACCTCGGGCGCGGGGAGAAATGAGGCAGCGGGGAGCATCACGACACGTGCGTGGCGGGGCCCGAGCAGCGCCCGCCGCGGGCGGGGTCCGCCGGCCGAACCGGGGGGCTCGCCCACCTCCGGGGAGTCCCGAAGAGCCGAATGGCGGGCTTCGTGGTGGAGCCCTCTGCAGGCTGCTCAGGGCGTGGCCTGGCCCTGGTGGGGGCCGCCAGCGGGACACCCCCCACCAGCAGTGGGACAGCTGGCTTCAGCCACTGTCATTCTTCCACAGGCCGGGACAAGAGAAGGGAAGAATAGGAGAGTGGAGAGAAGGGGTTCAGGGGTTGGGGGCGCGGAAGGCGGGTGCAGGCAGAAGTGATGAACCCTGAGCTTGTGGAGGCAGACGGAAGGAAGGCAGGGGATCTCCCAGGCAGGACAGGCTGGCTTCATCCACTGGCTCCTTGATTACCCATCTTCAGATTCCCAAATCTGCCTTCAGCCAGCCCTAGGGCAGCCAAGAAGAAGCAAGATGAGGTGGCAGGGACCTGCCCCCCTCAGATCTGGACCCTCGCCCAGCCGATCCCCTGAGGATTCAGAGTATCTCTGCCCTGTCTGAGACCTGGGGGGCCCATTTGTACAAGTGGCTGGTGGTCACTTGTGAGAAGTCCTCTAAGCCGTCTGTGCTACACTGCCTTGTCCTCCTGTTAGCTAGGAGTCCATGCAGCTCATGTGAAAGGCGAGGCCAGGAAGTACCAGCAGAGGAGAGACAAAGTGACAAGGGAAAGCCGCCAGTCCAGTCCAGCAAATGGCCACTGTCGGCAACTGAGGCCCATTTCTACCGAGGGCCCCAGGAGCCAGCATAGGCCAGGAGCCTTGCAATAAAAGCACCCATCTGTCAGTCTGTCTACCACCCATCTGTCAGCCTGTCATGCAGGAGCCTTGCAGTAAAAGCGAGGTCCACTACCCATCTGTCAGTGTGTCATGCAATAGTGGCGAGCAAGTTGCTGGGAAGCTACAAGCTGTGCTTCCCAGCGTTTTAAATGCCAGCAGGGTCACACCGTGGTGGGCAGGTTTTAATGGCGCTCCCAGACTAAGATAGGGGAATGGACTGAAAATGAGCCAAGGAAAGCCTTGCCAGCAGGCTTGCTTGCTTTGAATTCCTCATGGAGAAAGGTGGGTCACACCGGGGAGCATCCCAGTGGGCAAAGTGGAGCACCCATGAGGACACACAAACCCAAACCTGCTGCTCTGGAGTCAGTTTTGACTCCCTATGACCGGGCAGGGTTTCCAAGACTGTCCATCCTTACCGAGCAGGCAGCTTCCTCTTTCTCCCGCGAAGTTGCTGATGGCTTTAAACTGCAGACCTTGCTGTTAGCAGCCCTGTGCCTAATGCACAGCGCCACTAGGACTCCTTCCATGTGGACAAGTGAGACCCTCGTGAGCCTGGCACACCAGCTTCGGCTGTGCATTGGGAAATGCCGGTGGTTGTGAAGATGGTGCAAAGGTAGGAGGAAAACGTTGCTGTGTCATACGGAAGACCCAACTCCACAGCAACTGACAGCAAGAGGAAGGGAAGTACTGCTTCTCAAGTTCCCATCAGTCATACGCTGAGAGCTCTCTGGGGCTGCCCTTTTCTGTCCTGCCTGACTTCTAGCTGGACGGGGTGTGGGCCGAGCCTTCCAGTGACAGCACCTCCAGGTAGACACTCCGGGGCTGGCAGTAGGAGTGGAGGGCCTGCACAGAAATGTATAGCCGAAGCCAGTTACAGGCTGCACAGACTGGCTCAAAGGCTTCTCTCACCCCCACCCCCACTCCCAGGATGGGATTCAGTCATCCTGACTTGGTCCTCATTTGGGATGCGGACATCTCCCTCCACACCACTCAGCAGACCCTCCACATATCTCACCGGTGGCCTTTCCAAGTTCCCTCCCCTTTTGACAGCTCTGAGCCCCAGTTCCTCCCATCACCCCCTGCCCCATTGAACTCTTACCTCTCAGGCCCCACTACCTTGTTGGCTGCCACCCAGATACCAAAGTCACTTTTGCCAAAGTCACCATAGAATACCAGGGAGCTAAAACTAGGGGACTCTGTGGTCCTTGTCCCTATTGAACGCTTTAAAAATGATTTGTAACTTTGTGCTATGAATCAAGTGAAGTTGTACAGAGCAAATCGGTGTTCCATTCGACAGGTCATACACACTTTGTTTCATGTCATTGATTGCAATTTCCACAACATAACATCACTCATGCCATTTCTTCCTGTTTCCTTCCTCCTTCCTCCTCCTTTCCACCTCCTAGACTTTGTCCTTGGGCACACTGGGTCCTTCTTGATTTCCAATGATTGATTGTTCTCTGGAGAGGCTACAAACCACTGCCATTGAATTGGTTCAGACTCATCACAACCCTACATAGAGTTTTTGAGGCTGTCAGTCTTAATGGGAGCAGATAGTTGAATCTTTCTTCTATGAAACAACTCGTGGGTTTGAACCACTGACCTTGTGGTTAGCAGCCAACACTTACTCCACAATACCACAAGGGCACCTTGTTCACCTTATAGACTTGCCTGTTGTTTGGCTGAAAGCTGAACCACAAGGGTGAGTTCAATCCCAGGCCTGCAGAGTAAATGAGGGCCATAATTCAGGGGTTCCACCTACCTTTATCCAACCAATAAGCCTAGTCTTTTTGTTTATTTGTTTCACATTCAGCTGAACTCTTGCTGGCATCTTTGAAGTTTCACCCTGTGCCCCCGGCTTTCTCTGGCCACAGGTCCTGCCTCTCCCTGGGGTCTTTTGCAGGAGTTGTATCCTCCTCCTCCCCAGGGAGTGGCTCATCACCACTCCACCCCAACTTCTTTCCTGACACCAGGACTCCCTCCTGGGGTGATGGAGCTCAGTTTGATGACTTCTCCACTCAGGTAGATCTCCCACAGGTCTCAGTTCTGGTGGATGCGGGTCCAAGGCACATCCCTCAGGACCATAGAAGCTGTGCTTGAGAGGTTGGGCTTCATCCTGAGGGCACAAGGGACCATCTCAGTACAAGAACTCCCTAGGGAGTTAGATGGCTAGAGGAAGTTCTAGCTAGCTTTAGCCCCTCTCTTCCCTGCCTCACTCATAAAGATAATGTTGAATTGCTGTAAAGACTGAGAGACCCCAGACCCGTGGAAGTATCAAAACCCACCCTCCCTCTTTGAGAAGACTGCCCTGGTACAGGGTTTCACATTCCCATCCATCTATTTCTTCCATCTGGGAAGCATATTTTCTTTCTACTAGTCCTGTATTTCCCATCTGTTACACTGTATATTCTGATTGTTGGTGTACATGGAAGCTATTTGGCATTTTTGTTTGTCTGGTATTCAGACATTACTCATATTGGCTCTAATATTTTTTCTAATTATGATGCTTTTTAGCTATATTACCTGCACATAGTTCTGTCTGTCCCTTGCCCCCACCGTGTTTATACTTCTTTTGCTTTAGTGCGTAGACTCGCCCTTTCAGAACAAGGTGAAGACATTCCAGTGGATTCTATTTTATTCCTGCCTCCAAGTCTTTTTGTCCATTCACTCAACCCTTAATTTTAAATTCAGTAATCACCCTCGGAGCGCCCACTGTGTGCCAGGTACTCTGCTGAGCACTGACTGGGGAACAGAAGTGCATGAGGCTGGCACAATGCCATGGCCATGAAATTGACAATCTAGAGAAGGCAGGAAACCAAAGACAACATCCAGATCCAATCACAATGGGGTTCTTCACCCCAGCTTGTTTTTATCATACGTATAGAACAAAATTGTTGCTGTCATCATCCTTTAGCGTCCACGTCTCTGACAGTAATTCCACTCGCCATGTTGCACAACCATCACTGTTTTCCATTTCCAGATGTCTCTCATCATCCTAAGCAGAAACTCAGTTAAGAATCCCTCAAGCAAGAACGTTCCTTTTCTTCCATCTCCCAGTCCCTGGGAACTCCACATAAACTTTTGTCCCCGTGCCTTGGCCTACTCCATATGATTCCTAGAGCAGGAGTAGACAATGCTTACCCTGTTCTGTCCGGCTTATTTCACTGAGTATGCGTCCAAGGCTTCCCCACATAATGGAGTACATCAGAACTTTATTTCTCTGGGTAGCTGAGTAATATTTCGTTTTATGGGTACACTGCATTTTGTTTGCCCGGTCATCTGTTGAAGGACACTTGGGTTGCTTTCACCTCTTGGGTCTTGGGTGACGAATGCTGTAGTTGGCATTGGTGGTCTTTTTGAATGCCCGCTTTCCAGTCTCGGGGGCATGCTGTATCCCTGGGAGTGGAATGGCGGGGCCCTGGGGTAGTTGTATGCTTACCTATCTTTCTTTCTTTCTTTCTTTCTTTCTTTCTTTCTTTCTTTCTTTCTTTCTTTCTTTCTTTCTTTCTTTCTTTCTTTCTTTTACGCGTATCTTTCTGAGGAACGGTCAAAATACTTTCTGAGAGGTCAACACTGAGACACTGGATGGAGACAGGATTGAGGTTAAGAGCGGCTTTATTGGACAAATGTGCTTGACACAATGGGTGTGTGTATGGATTGCGATAAGAATTGTATGAGCCCCCAATAAAATGATTAAACAAAAAAGAGCGGGAGGGAAGGAAGAGCAGAGAAAGGGACAGGAGCATCTTGAGCTCCTGGGTGGTTCCGAGACCCAGCGAGTTAGGTCAGGGAAATCACGTGGGGCAGTGGATTTTTAGGATTTGGGTCAGGGAAATATGCAAATGAGGTGAAGAGAG